CCCAAACAAACAGATCCCAGGAAAATCGCAGCCCTCCCGACCAAGTTCCCGCTGCGCCTCGCGAGTGGGGCCAAAGGCCACAACGGTGGGCTCGTGTCGTGACGACTCGTGCGTCGGCTTCGGACACCGCGTGGATCCTCCAACCTTGCACGATCGTGGCTTTTCGATCATGCCGATAGCTCGATATCGATCGATTCCGGGCCACTGGCGGCGTTCAACCTTGAGCGCGCGCGCTGGGGTCGCCGCCGCGTCGACGCGACATGAAACTCGGCGGCGAGCCAGGGGGGAAGTGAGAGGGGGCGGGCCTCCTCGAAGGCTCGGAAGCTCCCTGTCCTTCTGGGAAGTCTGCTGAGCCTTCCTGGAAGACGCCGAAGATCTGTCAGAAGGCTCGAGGGCTTCTGAGCAGTCCCGCCGGCTTCTCAGAAGGCCTTCTCCTCGACCTCATTGGATGCTCTCGATCTCAGGCCGTGTGTGCAAAACTTACGTACATCGGGCACGGAGTCGTCGTCTCCTCCTGCTCTGTTCCATTGGTGGCATAAGGACACCAAACGTGTCAACCCGACGCGCCAAAAGCGTGCTGCGGCGATGTGTGCCCGAAACTGTATGGGCTGGGGATGTCGAACATCTGCCCATGCGCGCCCTGCCCGCCATGCGGCCCCCGAGGTGGACGACCTGGAAGAGCAGCAGCAGCAGGGGTGAGGGGCAACGATAGGGGGGGACTGGCATAAGGGGGGGATGCATCGACCTGGAATCGGCGATACATCGCCGATGGATCGGCGATAGGCCCCCGATAGTAAATCCGCACCTTCCTGGCCAGGTTAGGGCTATCGGGCCCCTATCGGCGATCAATGGGCGACTGGGGGTCGATGCATCCCCCCCTATGCCCATCCCCCCATCGTTGCCCCCGAAGGGGGCAGAGGAGGGAACGACACCCAGGGGCCAGGACGAACCCAGAGCCGGGGGAGGGAGGAGAGCGAGCGGCAGATTCTTCTCCCTCTCGTTCCCCCCCCCCCCTCGCTGGCCGCCGCCCTCTCCCTCGGGGCTCTGCCGGGGGCGCGCAGACATGGATGAGCGATCCATGGATCTGGCGCGCGGTCGCCAAATCCGTGGATCGAGAGAGGCGCCCTCGCCAAACTGCGGCTGGTGCCGCCTCGCTCGGCGGCGGAAGCCCGCGATTTCCACTGGAAACGGGACCCGTCGCTAATCCACGCCCCCTTGATCGATGTCAAGCGATCGCCTGACATGCATCAAGCAAGCCCGGGTGCCTGCGGGTCCGGGTGCCTCTAATAGAGGTAGTAATAGTAGTAGTAGTCGTCGTCGTCGTCGTCGTCGTCGTCGTCGTCGTCGTCGTCGTCGTCGTCGTCGTCGTCGTCGTCGTCGTCGTAGTAGTAGTAGTAGTAGTAGTAGTAGTAGTAGTAGTAGTAGTAGTAGCAGTAGCAGTTAGTAGTAGTAGTAGTAGTAGTAGTAGTCGTAGTAGTAGTAGTATAGTAGTAGTATTAGTAGTGTAGTAGTAGTATTAGTTAGAGTAGTAGTAGAGTGGTAGTAGTAATAGTAATACTAACAGTGGTCGAAGTAGTAGTCATCGTCGTCGTAGGAATAATAATAGTAGTAGTAGTAGTAGTAGTAGTAGTAGTAGTAGTCGTAGTAGTAGTAGTAGTAGTAGTAGTAGTAGTAGTAGTAGTCGTAGTAGTAGTAGTAGTAGTAGTAGTAGTAGTAGTAGTAGTAGTAGTAGTAGTAGTAGTAGTAGTAGTAGTAGTAGTAGTAGTAGTCGTCGTCGTCGTCGGCGTCTTGCGCGTTTCTGTGCAGTTGAAGTCCACTTCCTTGCATGGTGCCTCGGCGGTCCAGCGGGCACGCTGTTCATGGTGATAATATTGCCGCCATGTAAAACGAAAGGAGCCACGAGTGAGGCTGTCCACGCTGTTGCCGTGACCATGAAGGCCGCCACCTCGTTTTTCTGTCACCGCGAACTGTGTCATGACTGTCTGGGCTCGCTTGCTGTGCTGACATGCCTTTGGCCCAGATGGCAGCTGGAAGGAGGGGGGGGAGAAGAGGAGCAGAGGAGGAGGGGGAGGATGAGGACTCCAGCAATTGGAGGGTCACATGAGTGCAGGCTCACAACCGCCACAGCCCATGAAACAAGGCAACTCATGGAGCGTGGAAGGACATGCAGTATCTGGGGGGTTTGCCCTTAGCCAGCCAATCAAGGTTTCGATGACCTGTGTCCGTCGGCTCCGGGGGGCAGGGCAGCTTCAGCTTATGTGCAATGCTGACAGCAAGTGCCCCGCAGCCTCGACAAAAAAGAGTACACCTGTGCATTCAGCCAGCGTGTGCGTCATATGCGCACGCGAGTAGCATGGGTGCCCGATCGAATTGCTCAGGGACGCAGAACCAGGACTGGCAGAAGGATCCAACCCACCCGCCGACGAAGATCCCAACACCAACGCTCCAGAACAGAGACCAGGCCAAAACTTGGACAACTCCCCGCGGACAACAAAGAACTTGCTCAGACGCCGTGTACACTTAAACGTGTCCGAGACTTCACATCTATCGTGACCTTGCTCACGCAGCCTTTCGCGTCGGAGGTTACAAGAACTCGGGCCGTTCTCTCTATGATGGTCTCTACCCAGGCGGTCCTCACGCGTTCGGGGGAGGAGGAAGAGGAGGAGGAGGTGGAGGAGGAGGTGGAGGAGGATGAGAAGGACGAGGAGGATGATGAGGAGGAAGAGGAGGAGGAATAGGAGGAGGAGGAAGAGGAGGAGGAGGAGGAGGAAGAGGAGGAGGAAGAGGGAGGGAGACCGAGGAAGGAACGCGGGCTGGGAGGAGATGGGAGACGCTCCGTGCCCCCCGGCGGCCGCCTTCGGCGAGGGGCACGCCAAGCACACCCCCTGCACGCCCGCCGCGCGCGAGGCGAACTCGAGCGCCCGGGCGCCGCCTCCCCAGCGGAAGGAGAAGGGGGGAGGGAGAAACATTCTCCTCCTCCTCCTCCTCCTCATTCTGCTCCTTCTCCTCATCCTTCACGTCCTGTCTCCTCCTGCCTCCTCCTCCTCCTGCCCCCTCCGCCAGCTGCTGCTGCTGCTGCTGCTGCTTCTGCTGCTGCTGCTGCTGCTGCTGCTCCTCGCCCCCTTTTCCTCCTCCTCCTACTCCTTCTCCTCCTCCTCCTCCTCCCCCTCCTCCCCCTCCTCCTCCTGCTCCTCCTCCTCCTCCTCCTCGTCCTCCGCTTCCTTCCTCCTCCTCCTCCTCCTCCTCCTCCCTTCTCCTCCCCCCTCCCCTCCCCCTCCTCCTCCTCCTCCTCCTCCTCCTCCTCCTCCTCCTCCTCCTCCTCCTCCTCCCGTGTGATCAGTAACGCCACCCCGTCGGAGGGTCTTACTGCCCCGGCGAGAAGCGTGATGGTTAAGCTGTCTCCCTCGCTGGGGCCCAGCGCAATGCCTCGGGCTGCGCCGAGGCCGCCCGCTCAGGCCCGAGGTGGCCCGGGCGCCAGCAGCGTCGTGCAGTGCCAGTCTTGGCGGACATCCCCTGCTCATCCTCCGCCTCCCGAACTTTGGCGCCATGGGCGGCCGACGCAAAACCAGACGCACTACATCGCCGCCGCTCCAATATTGCTGTGTGCATGTGCGCCGCCGTCGCGTGCACGCTCTTTGCTGTGGTGTCCATCGACGAGGCGACAGTGCTGGATAACACCGTGAGCCGAGCGTCAGGGCACCCCTCGGCACGTACCAGCTGCGTCGCCCAGACACGCGCCGCGGCCGTGCTCTCAATCGTCACCACGTGAGAGAAAAGGCCAACAGCACTAACTCACACATTGTCAAGCCACTTTGGTGGTTGTGGTGCGCTTTGAGACAGCAACCAACAATGGCAATTCGACTTCTCAAGCTCCAGAACAGCTTACCCTAAGTCTGAATCGCTACATAAGGAAGTGATACTAGTGAATGTTGGCCAGCGTGGGCCCCAAACAATGTTTTCTTGCCATATATGCGGTGCAATCTCGGCGGTGCAATCTAGGTGGTGTCACCCACGTGGTGCCGTCTACGCGGTGCAAAGTGTAAAGCAAAACGTCGTCCTCATCCCCCATCCATGGCATAAGCAGCCTCATCATCATCCCCCTCCTCCTCCTCCTCCTCCTCCTCACTCCCCCTCCCTTCTGTGCTATGTTCTGCAAGGCACAGCAGTGCAAAACAATGCAGGCAATGCGAAATGCGAGCCTCGCACAATCGAAATCGTGACCAAGGACGGCGGCGACGGTTGGCCACAAGCCGGCCGGGCCGACCCCCGGGCCCTCGCACAATCAGACCGTGGCCAAGGACAGCGGCGACGGGCGGCCACAAGCCGGCTGGACCGACAGCCAGGCCCAGTTCCTTGGAAGAGAAGCAAGAACTAGTAAGTGCAAGCGCTATCAGGGGAATCTGATGGATCTGTTGATGCTGGCAATCCGATGCCGATGCTTATCTTTGATTATGGCTGCTAAGGGTCTCATCGATGTGCTGAGGTCCACGGACTAAGTAACATCAGCGCTCCCGAAACTGCACGACTGACTTGGATATATCTGCCACCGCGCCTGCAGCGGTTGATGTAAGTCGTGCCGTTGCTCTTTGCGCTGGTTCCGCTCTTCTTGGGACAATACCTAGGGCCCCCACGAATCGAACCCAACGAACGTTTAGTTTTGACCGAATCCCTGAATTCCGTGTCTTCCACGCATAAGATGGTGCCAACATCAGAACCCAGGGTACCACGTTTCGTGGTCTGCTTTCCTGCCCCCCCCTCACCCAGGTGCCCCGCTTGCCCTCAATGCGCAGTAGCGGCCTCGCGCGGCAGCGCAACTTGTATTCAGCACCTACAAACTCAAATATTTGCTCTCACGCATGTGCATCATCCAGGCCAGCGGCACTGTTCGATTCGTCTGAACCAATGCGCGAGGCAACAAGCTTGATGACGAGGAACACGAGAAAAGGGGGGGCAACGGAAAGGTTAGATAATCCGACTTCCGCCGACCGCTCATCCCACCATCAGAGCTCCTCCCGCGCTACATCTGGTGGCTCGAACGTTAAACTTCTAAATGCCTGCTCCTCGGCTTCACCCTTGATGCAAGTGTACAAGTTCACGTCCCTCACCTCATGGTGGGTGCACCACTGCGCCAGTTCCAGCGGCTGCTTCTCTCTGCCCGAGTAGGACACAAACGCAAGCAGCCCCCCGCTGCGCAACACACGCCTCATCTCCAGGGCCGTGCGCAACACGGCCCCGTCCCCTCGAGGGCGGAAGATATCCAGAAGGCCCTTGTCCAATACCACGTCGAACGATCCGTCGGCGAGGCTCATGTTGGCAGCGTCCATCACCTCGAAGCGCAGCCGCTCATCGTCGGCGTACAGGGCGCGCATGCGCTCCACGGCGGGTGCGTTGATGTCGGTGTTCAGGACGCTGCCCACGCGGGGCAACGCGCCGATGTCCTTCGTCCACGTCGAGGTGCCGCAGCCCACGTGCAAGACGCGCAGGTCCCCAGGCACCCCAGCGAGGTGCGGCTCCAGCACGGACGCGGGCACCTGGGCGACGCAAAGAAACGTGCCTTACGCGAGATGACGTAGCGACTTTACGCGGTGGCTCACGCGGGCCGCCAGCGCGGTACGCCACATTGGAGATGAGGGCGCTTGCGCGCGACCTGACGCGGGCAACTTACGCGCCAGTGTCGGCGCAATCGAACCCGTTTTTCGGCGTCGCTCACCTGGTACCAGTCGAAATGCGAGGAAGGAAAAACGGCACCAGCATGAAGCTTTTGGAGGTCCGAGCGGATTTCTTGGATCGGCGCTGGGCCCCCCCCCTGGCGGCGCTCCCTGGCGTGCTCCGCGCGCCAGGTAGGGGGGTCCATCGACGATCCATGAAGCTTGCGCAAGCCTCCAATCATTTCATGTTTGCGCCCCTCTTACCATCGCTCGGACGTCCATTTCCCATGCGTTGTTTGGTTTTCCTTTATTGTTGTTGTTGTTGCTGTTGTTGTTGTTGTTGGTGGTGGTGGTGTTGTTGTTGTTGCTGCTGCTGCTGCTGTTGTTGAACATTATTCCTTCTAAAGAATTATTATTGTTGGGACCCCTGGTGCGCGACCTCTGCGCCGCGCCTAGGCCGCAGCTACATTTTCATCATTTTTTCGCGAAAGCTTCAGAAAAGTGGATGAGCTCCGGATCCGGTTTTTTGTTGACGCTCGTTTTCCCTTGCAAAAAACAATAGAAAATGAAAATTCTTGTTTTTACTTGATCAAATTGCAAGAATCCCTTGCAAAAAATAAGGTAAAGTGGACATTCGCGCTCGCAAGACGAAATCCTTCCAAAACCTTAGGTTTCGTAGCGATTTTAACATAAAAACATCAAAAACCCAATGGTTTTTTAAGAAAAAATTGTCAAAATGTCCTTCCGCGCGCTCTTGCGGATTCATAGGAAACACACCACTTTTTAAACATTTCTGTCAAAAGGGTCTTTGCGTGCTACTTCTTCAGGTGCTTTGAACTTCTCCAACAACGGTTGCGCGCCTGCGAGGGCCACCATCCCTTGCAAAAAATGAGACGAAGTGCACATGCGCGCGGCCGCCGCGCGCGCATGTCGAAATCCTGCCAAACACAATGGGTTTTCAATAATTTCAAGATGCGATGTTCAGAAAACATATGAAAACGCACTACTTTCTCATCCGAAAAATCTCGAAATCCATTCGCGGTCTCTTGATGAATCTTTAAAACCCAAGATGGCCCCAACAGGCGCGCGTACCATCTCACGTGTACCATCTCACGTGTACCGTGTACCACATCATATGTAACAGATGTGATCAACCTCTGTGGGTGTGTACCCCACGCCAGTGTAGTAGCCAGGGTCGTCCGCACGCCACGAAGTGAAGTGTCCCAACGTCATAGGGCGGGAAGCTGGGTGTGGGTGGTCTCGAAGAGTCGTTTGGATATTTGGTAGAGCTTGAACGGCCCCCCCACGAAGTGGGGGTATTGGCTGGTGTCGCAAGAAAACCCTGGCACTGGGGAGAACACTGAGCGTTCGGGTACAATGATTGTTATTGTTGTTGTTGTTGAACATTATTACTTCTAAAGAATAATTATTGTTGGGGCCCCTGGTGCGCGACCTCTGCGCCGCGCCTAGGCCGCAGCTACATTTTCATCATTTTTTCGCGAAAGCTTCAGAAAAGTGGATTGGTACCGGATCCGGTTTTTTGTTACGTGGCGTTTTCCCTTGCAAAAAACACTATAAAATGAAAATTCTTATTCTTACTTGATCAAATTTCAAGAATCCCTTACAAAAAATGAAGTAAAGTGGACATTCGCGCGCGCAAGACGAAATCCTTCCAAAACCTTAGGTTTCGTAGCGATTTTAACATAAAAACATCAAAAACCCAATGGTTTTTTAAGAAAAAAATGTCAAAATGTCCTTCCGCGCGCGCTGTCCGAATCCCACAAAACCAATGGTTTTTCAACATTTATGTTACATGAGCTCGCGCGAGCTACTTTTTCTTGTTCTAACATAATCAAATTTCAATAATCCCTTGCAAAAAATAAGGTAAAGTGGACATTCGCGCGCGCAAGACGAAATCCTTCCAGAACCTTAGGTTTCGTAACGATTTCAACATAAAAACATCAAAAACCCAATGGTTTTTCAAAAAAAAATGTCCAAATTTCATCCCGCGCGCGCTGTCCGACTCCCACAAAACCAATGGTTTTTCAACATTTATGTTACATGAGCTCGCGCGAGCTACTTTGTCTTGTTCTAACATAATCAAATTTCAATACTCCCTTGCAAAAAAAAGTAAAGTGGACATTCGCGCGCGCAAGACCAACAAAAAACACGACGATCTCAGGAACTTGCCCCAAAAATGTGACCAACTCCGCTCTCTCTGTCTCTCTCTCTGTCTGCTCTCTGTCTCTCTCTCTGTCTGTCTGTGTCATGTATTGTATGTCACAATTGCAGGATGCTGGGCACACGCGCGCCCCGAATAAGTGACCAAGTTCTGTGGGTGTGTACCCCACGCCAGTGTAGTAGCCACGGTCGTCCGCACGCCACGAAGTGAAGTGTCCCAACGTCATAGGGCGGGAAGCTGGGTTTGGGTGGTCGCGAAGAGTCGTTTGGATATTTGGTAGAGCTTGAACTGCCCCCCCACGAAGTGGGGGTATTGTCTCGCGTCGCATGAAAACCCTGGCACTGGTGAGAACACTGAGCGTTCGGGTAAAATGATTGTTCTTGTTGTTGTTGTTGTTGCTGCTGTTGTTGTTGTTGTTGTTGTTGTCGTTGTCGTTGTCGTTGTTCTTGTTCTTGTTCTTGTTGTTGTTGTTGTTGTTGAACACTATTACTTCTAAAGAATTATTATTGTTGGACCCCCTGGTGCACGCCCCCCGCCCAAAACCTAGGCCGCAGCTACATTTTCATCATTTTTCTGCGAAAGCTTCAGAAAAGTGGATTACCCCCGGATCCGGTTTTTTGTTGACGCTCGTTTTCCCTTGCAAAAAACAATAGAAAATGAAAATTCTTGTTCTTAGTTGATCAAATTTCAAGAATCCCTTGCAAAAAATAAGGTAAAGTGGACATTCGCGCTCGCAAGACGAAATCCTTCCAAAACCTTAGGTTTCGTAGCGATTTTAACATAAAAACATCAAAAACCCAATGGTTTTTTAAGAAAAAATTGTCAAAATGTCCTTCCGCGCGCTCTTGCGGATTCATAGGAAACACACCACTTTTTAAACATTTCTGTCAAAAGGGTCTTTGCGTGCTACTTCTTCAGGTGCTTTGAACTTCTCCAACAACGGTTGCGCGCCTGCGAGGGCCACCATCCCTTGCAAAAAATGAGACGAAGTGCACATGCGCGCGGCCGCCGCGCGCGCATGTCGAAATCCTGCCCCACGAATTTGCCCCAAAAATGTGACCAACTATCTTGGCACTGCGTACCATCTCACGTGTACCGTGTACCACATCATATGTAACAGATGTGATCAACCTCTGTGGGTGTGTACCCCACGCCAGTGTAGTAGCCAGGGTCGTCCGCACGCCACGAAGTGAAGTGTCCCAACGTCATAGGGCGGGAAGCTGGGTGTGGGTGGTCTCGAAGAGTCGTTTGGATATTTGGTAGAGCTTGAACGGCCCCCCCACGAAGTGGGGGTATTGGCTGGTGTCGCAAGAAAACCCTGGCACTGGGGAGAACACTGAGCGTTCGGGTAAAATGATTGTTGTTGTTGTTGTTGTTGTTGTTGTTATTGTTGTTGTTGTTGTTGTTGTTGTTGTTGTTGTTTGTGTGTGTGTGTGTGTGTTTGCGTGCGAGTTTCACGATGATTCAAGATGCTCCCAGATGGTCCTGGCGCTGACCTCGCCGAGAAAGGTGCACATCCGAGCGATGCCGAGCCGGGCTACACGCAAGAGTGACCCCAGGCAAGAGTGACCGCCGGTGCGCAGCTTTCGGGGGGCGCTGGGCGGGCCAAGCCCGAGGGCGCAGGCCGATGCTGTCGCAGCGCGCTCCGCGGTCGGGGGACCCCCGTGGGCCCGCACCCAGAGGCCACTCCTGCGAAGGGTCACTCTTGCGTCTAGTCGACAAGCGCTCTTCCTCCCTCGAGAAGTGGCCGGGGTGGATCTCGTAGAACTCCTCCCAGCAGCTGGGCGTCGAGAAGTCGCATCTGGCCACCCTCGACACGTCCTCGCGGGGACGGCAAGCGACCGCAACCACATCGAGGACACACCCTGGGAGATGTCCTGCGCATGCCAACAGTCGCAACAACACCGGAGCCAACTCAGTGCTGGTTGTGGTCGATGTGGCGTCTCAGGACGGCCACATCGACCACAACCACAACCAAAGTGTTCATGTTGAGGTCGGTGGGTTCTTCCCCGAGAAGCCCTGTGGCGACGCGCACACGGGGGTAGGGGGAGAGGGGAAGGCTTCTCGGAAGGAGGCTGCTTGTTAGAAGGCGCCTGCCCTACATCTACAAATAAGGCCCGCGCCTTCTAAGAACCAGGGGTGCTTCTAAGAAGCCTTCCCCCTCCCCCTACCCAGACATGCGACGTCTTGATTCTTTCCATACGCCGTCCCTGGGTGCCCCGACCCACTCCCCGGGGCCGGTTTTCCATCCCGAAACAATTTTTCCCAACCAGCCTGTGTTGTTGGGTCCTCGTTTTGAAGAGACGGTCCCCGCCTTCCTTCCTCCTTCCTCCTTCCTCCTTCCTCCTCCTCCCCTTCCTCCCCCCTCCTCCCCCTCCCACACCCATTCTGGCACACCCCTCACACGTTTCGTGGCCCCATAGGGAGCTCCACCGAAGGCCCCAGTGGCTGCGCCCGCATGCGGTTCCACCCCCCATTCTGGCACACCCCTCACACGTTTCGTGGCCCCATAGGGAGCTCCACCGAAGGCCCCAGTGGCTGCGCCCGCATGCGGTTCCACCCCCCATTCTGGCACACCCCTCACACGTTTCGTGGCCCCATAGGGAGCTCCACCGAAGGCCCCAGTGGCTGCGCCCGCATGCGGTTCCACCCCCCATTCTGGCACACCCCTCACACGTTTCGTGGCCCCATAGGGAGCTCCACCGAAGGCCCCAGTGGCTGCGCCCGCATGCGGTTCCACCCCCCATTCTGGCACACCCCTCACACGTTTCGTGGCCCCATAGGGAGCTCCACCGAAGGCCCCAGTGGCTGCGCCCGCATGCGGTTCCACCCCCCATTCTGGCACACCCCTCACACGTTTCGTGCCCCATAGGGAGCTCCACCGAAGGCCCCAGTCTGCGCCCGCATGGTTTCGGCACACCCCTCACACGTTTCGTGGCCCCATAGGGAGCTCCACCGAAGGCCCCAGTGGCTGCGCCCGCATGCGGTTCCCCCCCCATTCTGGCACACCCCTCACACGTTTCGTGGCCCCATAGGGAGCTCCACCGAAGGCCCCAGTGGCTGCGCCCGCATGCGGTTCCACCCCCCATTCTGGCACCCCTCACACGTTTCGTGGCTCCATAGGGAGCTCCACTGAGCGCCCCAGTGGCTGCGCTCGCATGCGGTTCCACCCCCCCATTTCGGCACACCCCTCACTCGTTTCGTGGCCCGGGGGCGCCACCGAAGAATATATCCACAATTGCGGTATTCACAACTACGTATGGTTGGGTCTTTCGTCAGGCTAATTTGACCGTCCTGGGGCCCAGCGAGGTCCCCCAGAGGGCGAAAATAGCCGAAAACCTCCAGCCCCTATTCTTTCACGATCCTTCCCCCCTCTCCCTACCGCTAGGTCGGGCATGTCTTCCCACAGGCGGATTTTGGAAGAGAGCAACAAATAGCCAAACAAAAATCAAACCTAGTCAAAAGAGCAGGCGAACAATCGTCAACGTACTATTCTCTACTATTCTATAATATTCCTCCCGTAGATGGACATAGCCGACTTAACCATCGCCTCCCGTCCCTATTCTTTCACGATCCTTCCCCCCTCCCTCTACTCCCCCTTTTCCGCGTGGCCCCGAGACCCCCCCCCAAAGCATCCGTCTACAGTTGTGGCTGTGGCTCCCTGGCGGTGGGCCAGAGTCCTGCAGCGCGCGCCGCTCCCGCTCCTCCTGCCGCCGGGCGCGCTTCTCCGCGGCGGCCCGCGCCGCCGCCCTCCGCTTCTCCACCAGGTCCGCACGGATGCCGAGACGGACAACCATCGTGCTGGGAGGAAGGGCTTGGGAAGATGCAGTCGGACCTATAGAGGGACAAGGAACCGGCATAAACATAGACTTTTGACTTAGGTCGGGCATGTCCCCTTACAGGCGGATTTTGGAAGACAAATCAAACATACTCAAAACGTATGCACAAATGGTCACAGCAAATCGGAAAATCGTCCCCTGACGGTTTTCTATTTATGAATATTCCTCCTGTAGAGGGACATGCCCGACGTAACTTTTGACGGTCCGCGCGGATTTCTCGGATCTGCGCTGGACCGCCCTCCCTGGCGCGCGGAGCGCGCTGGGGGCGGCGCCGGAGGCGCCGCCTGGGGGGGGCCGAGCGCAAATCCAAGAAATCCGCGCGGACCGCCACCAATTTATGTTCATGCCATTCCCTGTTCTTTTGAGCAGGGACCGACCGTCCTGGCATTCCTATAGTCTACCACGAAATGATCTTAGAACCCCAAAATGTTCTAATAACAAAAACAAGGTTCTTAGAAGATAGCCCCGATGTGTTAAAACCAGACAGTCCCAGCCAGAAATGTTCTAAGAACATTTCGTGGAAACCACAACAGGTTCTTCAAACCTTGTTTGGTAGGGCTATAGGCGAGCCAGTACGCTTCGCCACTGCTTGATTCTTCGAGAGCAAGGCCAGCAACACATGCCTCAAGAACATGAGACCCTCCGTCGGCAAGAGCAAGCAGAACATCCAAGGGTGCCCTCCCCAGGATGCACAACAGCATCCAGCAAGCAAGAAGGAACACTAGGGTACGCACCCTCCCCGAACGGACCTCGATCTCATACTTCGGTCCGGCTGCATCGTGCTGGGAGGAAGGGGCTTGGGCAGAGTCGCGGCACGACTATGCCAGAAGCCCATTCAACTAATCTAGTGGAACCAAAAGCGGCACAAACATGAACTTTTGGCGCGCTGGGCCCCCTGGCGGCGCCTCCGGCGCCGCCCTTGGCGCGCTCCGCGCGCCAGGGAGGGGATTCCAGCGCAGATCCGAGAACTCCGCGCGGAGCGCCACCAGTTTATGCTCGTGCCGTCCTTCTTTTCTTCTTCGACCTTCAGCATGCGCGATGCACGCGGACGGCCTCAGCACGTCCCGGCCCCATCTGGCCAACGCTCAGACGTCCATTCCCTGTGGCTTCTTCGGTTTCGTGCGTGGCTTTTCTCCGCCAAATGATCGAGGAGGCTCCTCGATGGTCCTCGCCGAAGGGAAAACATGCACACGTCCGAGCGACGCCAAGCCATCCTCCCGACCCGACGCTTGCCCTTCCAGGCTGCGCGCCGCCGCCTCGGGCGAGAGCTCGCTCCAGTCGACGGCCAGAGGCCCTCGCTGCGCCCGGCAGGGGCAGAAGGGGCCCCTTTCGGGTCGGGGGGGCGCCGGCCTACGCCGAGACGCCGGCCCCTGGGCAGGGCGACCCTGGGCCTGGGCTCGGTGCGTACCCGGCGACTCCTGCGCGCCGGTCGGAAGAGGTGGGTAGAAGGCACGAGGTAGGAAGGCGGATCGAGCAGATTTGGGCCCAGGCCCTCCCAGAGAGGAGCAGAACACAGCAGAAGCATGGCGGTTCCTGGAGCAGGGAGGCGCTTGAAGCAGATAGGGATCTGGGAATCCAAGAATACCTACTTTCAACGACTGGCGTGTACGGGTGTGGTCTGCAGAGGGAGTGGCTTGCAACCCGCCCCCGGGGCGGGCGAGGACCTCGACAGAGTTCTTTGCCGCGCCCCGAGGAGGCCCGACGAGGGCAGCGTGGTGCCCCCAAGCCCCAACGGCGCCGATCGCAAACCACACCCCGGCGTAATCACACCCTCAGTAGTCGCCGATATAGGGTCGGGAGCTTTTGCGTAGGTGTCGCGGCGGCGGCCTAGGCGACAAGCCATGCCCAGATAGCGTGTCGGTCCGCACCGCGGGGCGGGAGGCTGGGAAAGAGGCTCGGGACGTTGACGCCTGGGGACCAGGAAGTGGTTGGAGTGCCGCGCGAAGCGTGAACGGCCAGACCGGGCGGCGCGACAGGTTGAGCCAGCATTCATGACCGTATGTCTTCCTGGCCAAGCCAGGAGTGCGTGTGCACCGCTCGGAGGGCGTGGAGAGGCGGCGCCCTCCGATCGGGGGGCGAGCCGCCAGCGGAAGCCAGGGCCCGTGCAGCGGCCGCATCTAAGTTGCATGCGAAAGAGCCGCCGGCTTCGCCGAAGCAACCGACGCAGCACCCTCGTGCTGGGATCGGGAGGAGCGGCGCTCTGAGTGATGGATGATGCCAAAGCCTCGAGCAACGCAGTGCCCCCCTCCCTTCCTCGGGGACGCGCTGACCTGGGTCAGCGCAAGCCTGGGTCTGTCGGGCATGCTGCAGGATCCTGCACGCTGACCCGGGTCAATGCAGCCCTGGCTCTGCAGCCCTGGCTCTGCAAGATCCGCCGCTCTGACTGACCCCCGTCTGCATTGACCCCCGTCTCTTAAACCCAACGAGAATCAATTCAGGTGAGAATAAAATCAAGAATCTCTGAGATCCGGCGGCTCTGGAGTATGTATCGGGCGCCGCGGCCTTCTCAGAGCGTTCTGGAATGCTCTGAAATCGTTCCGAAACGTTCTGGAACGGATTTATCCTCGTCCTGGCCCATCCCGAAGTGCCTCCCCCCTCCCTTCTCGAACCTCTGGCAACCTGGAAGAAGCCACGGCGGCCGGGATCTTCGACGCCTCGGGCCACCCGAGAGGCCCGTCTCGGGCGCAGAAATGGCCATCACAGGACCGCCACCGCGACGACGACGCCGACGGCCGACGGACAACGTACGACGACGACGAGGACGATGACGACGTAGAACGTACGACGTACGACCAGGACGAGGACGAGGACGAGGCAAGGACGACGAGGACGACGCGGACGACGACGAGGACGACGAGGACGACGACGAGGTCGACGAGGACGAGGACGACGAACGACGTACGACGTGGACGACGACGACGAGGACGGCGAGGACGAGGACGACGGACGACGACGACGAGGACGGGGACAAGGACGCCGACGAGGACGACGACAACGAGGACGAGGACGAGGATGACGAAGACGACGATGAGGACGACGACGAGGA